GGGGGGGGGGGCAGAGATGGAAGGAGGGAATCGGTAAAAAGGCAAACATCCCCGCACTTGAGACGACGCGGGCGTGGAGGAGGGCAAAGAGGGAGGGTCGAGGAGGCTTGTCGCGTGGGGGAGGCGGGAGAGTGAACCCTTTGGAAATGGGCCGAGGCCGGGCGGGGAGGGCGATTGGATGGCAGCGTCATGCCTGTACAAAACAAGAAGGCGTTAGCGACGGCGGAGGCCAGGGGCGAGGGATAGGCCCGGGAGATGCGGATTTTGAAATGGCAGCGTTGTTGTGCAATATATATATATACATATTAGGTGGAGACAGATCGGAGAGGAAGAAACACGAGGGGAGCGCGGCCTCGACGTCTTCGTTGCTACGGGCGCAGTAGTCGTGGAGGAGGACGGGTGGGCGCAGACGAGGAGAAGGGAGGGCTGATAGCGACGCGAGCAGCCGTCGCGGATCGAGGGGAATCAGGAGATGGATGGGGAAGGTGACAGCGAGAAGGGTGGGTCCTCAGGGATCACGGATAGGGGCATGGCATTGCCTTGGAAAGGCGGAGAGGTCCACGCGTACAGTCATTGTCTTTTAAGCTTTTTAAGAAGGGTAGGATGATCCCTTGACAGTCAGTTATGAAGGCGCATGCAAGCACAGAAAGTCTAGGGTCAAGAGGAAAACAAAGAATTTGGCAGCTATCTTGGAATGTTTTGCACGGATGAAGGACCCCGTGACTTGATGGGCACGGGAGCATTCTTGTGGTGCACTTGCTTTGCTGATGACGGTGGGTTGTCTTGTCAATATTTAACGATGAAGGTATTTGGTCTGAAATAGGAAATCGCGCTAGCTGATGCTAGACCCCGGTATGAAAATCCTTTGTTACCCAACTGAATCGCATTGAGTCCATTGATGCCATTTACAGACAATGGATACGGTGGACATTCTCAGGAAAGGCTGATTGCTGAGAAAGCAATACAGCCAAGGTCGAATGGTTGCCATTCCCGCTAAAGAGCACCCTTGCCTTCATTCTCGCTCTGATTACCTAGTACAATCATATTAATAAGTCAGACTGACAATTAAAAATTGTCATCTGAGCGGAACGTCCTGCCTAAATACACCCTAAGACTATAGTTTCTTTCTACAGTCGGAACACTTCTATTGATTTATTGGTGAATTAAGAAGAGAGAATGCTGTCGAAATGCGTGCTTTTGTGCGTGCTTTTGTGATTGGCCCATGTAACAGGTGAATGACAGGATCGAGCCAGAAGATTAAGAAACCGTACGATGCCAGAATCAAGACAAGAATACACAACTGGTATTCTATCAATTCCGGCCTCTCTTAATCGACAACTGCAGGATTTAAGAGGCGCACCAGGTCCTCTGGGTCATAAGTTCCCAGGAAGAAGCAGCACGGAAGCCTCGTCGGTGATATTTCCTGGAAAGCCTTCCAATCAGACCAGCAGCGTGGAAAGCCCTGGTCCAAATGGCACACCAGGGCCTTCCTTCCGTAGCGCCGGCGTTTGAGGTAAAATTAGGCATTGCACCGATGTATGCCCGCATTCGTTGAAGTAATGAATGTGGAAAATGTCTAGGACGTGTTATAGCACCAGACCATACATGGTATGTACGCATCACAGGACGTCACGTGCTACAATTGATCCTGCCAGCCCCTGAATATGCCCCCAAATGCCAAACCTGACAGATGCAACGACGTTTGTTGATGGGTACATAGACTTTAAACGCAGCCACTATGCCAGATGCCCAGTATTTGCGTCATGTACACTTGTGTGGATGACACGCCAGCACAACTTCGTTTTCATACACTCAACTCTGTATGCAGCGAGCACCGAGGCGGTTGCCATTTCCTGCGTTTTCCGTTTTTCCCCAACGAAACATCCGTCTCTGCCCTTTGAAATATTTATCCCTTACAGAAAATTGTCCTGGTTGTGAGCGCTTTCGCTGCTCGCTTTCGTTTTCCCAGCCCTCGTGAGTGTAAAAAAGTTCAACGCAACTTCCAGGTAGGTCGGAGAAGTATCAGAAGGGACCGAGTGGGCGAAAAAATGTAAGCATTTGACATACCACTCGTGACATTTGGGGGGCAGCACAGGTGTGGCATTATTTATAATTTTCGTCCTCTAAGGTACCGCGCTGAAGCCAGACAGCGCGAGGCGGAGAGAGATGCGGAAAGGCGTCTGCAAAGGCACATCCGAGCTTCGCTCCGACGGAAAGCCAACGCGTGGGAAAGTAAGAGGTGGTCCAGTCCCTTCTGCACCGAGCGCTGTGCCTGTAGCCGTGTCGCGCCCGTACCACTACGCGACCCGGAGTCTCTGCCCCCTCCCAGACCATCCCCCCAGCCCCATCCGAGGCCGCGTCCGTCGAGTTTCCTCGGAACCACAAGCACGACGAGGGGATACAGGTGATCCCACCCATGGCGCAGACGGCGTTCCCGCGAAAGTCCCGCGCGCATGCCCCCGTCCACGGCGACGGAGGAAAGACACGGGGGCCTCGCCGCTTCGAAGGGAGACGACTCCTTGCCTGGTGCCTCCCTCCCTCCCTCCCGTCTTCACCCCACCCGATTTCTCAGGGAGGGACAAAGGTTGCACTTGCGCCGTTGTGCCGCGGCCGCAGTCCCCGCCCCACACCCCTCCGGTGCCGCCGAGTGAGGCGCTCTATGTCTCTGCCCCCGCGCGACGGGAACGGCTGGGAGGGAGCGGCTCCCAGTGCGGAAGCGAGGTCACCACGGAGACCGAAAAATGCCGAGAGGGGGTCGGAGCTACCCTTGAGGAGCATACGGACTCACACGAGCTGGCAACGACCAGTTCCTTTCCCGAGGCGTCGC